GCCACACGCACCCAGGCAAGGTGCTCCGAGCCGAGGGCTCTGGGCTTCGCAGGTCCCAGCAAAGCTCTCACTTTGCCTGGCAACTTCCCTCCTTCCTGGGAGAGGACAGGGAACCCCACAGCAGCAAGGACAGGGCCTGCTGCCCCTCGTGTTTGTGTAAGCACAGCTGGAAACACCGACTCTGTTCGCTAGCTCCGAACCGCCCACCCCTGTGCGGGACGCTGGGGCAAGCCAGGGAGAGCTCCAGCTGTGAGGTGCCGCCTGTCCCTGCTCGCACTGCCGGAGGGCAGCGGGGTGTCTCCGGGCTGGCATCGTACCCGAGGAGCTAGAGGCCCACTCGTTGCCCGTGTCTCGGTCACTGTCGCCCTCCCTCGTCTCGGTGACGGCGGAAGCCGGGGCGTTCGAGCAGGAAGCGCCCACCGCGTGGTGCCTCCGGCGGCGCCGGCCCGAGCACTTGGACCTGGGGTTGTGCAGCGCAGCAAACTCCTTGGCTCCTTCCTGCAACCAAAGCAGAAGACAAGGCGGGTGGCAGGCGACCAGGGAACGCAGAAAGGCTTTTCCACAGGCCCTTGGACAAGCCCTGCCCTGCCGCCACCCCGAGGTGGACGACCTGCCACGCACGGTCACTTCGGCAACTGCCGAGACCCTGCCGGCTGCCTGCGCTGCACGCTCCCGCTTTGCTTCCTTCGGGATCGCTGCCCGGTCGGAAGAGGCTCCCCAGCCCTGGCCCTCCACTCTGCTCCCCTGCCTCTTGCCCTGGCAGTGAAGCTCTCCTGGCCTCTCCCTCTGCTCCAGCCCCGCAGCTCCCCGGGACACCCCGTAGCTCAGCCAGCTGACCAGCCCGGACACCACCAGGCGCACCCGCCTCCCTGCAGGCAGCTCCTCCAACCTGCAGCTCATCCCTGCGAACACAGCTAGGCTGCATTTCTGAAAGGTCGTTTCTAAAACAGTTTGAGCCTTCCCCGCACACGCTAGATTCCTTCCCCAGCATTTTTAACCTGGGCTTCATTTTTCAAACGCTGCACTGAGTCCAGACAAATCCTTTGTCACCACAATTTCTCATCTGCCAGCTACGAAATTAGTCTTTGTCAGAGATTTGCTAAAATATGCATCTGGTAAGGTCTGCATTTGGATTCATGCTCCCCTGAATCCAATAAGGATTAGAACTAGTTCTGAAAAATCACCAAAGCTGTGAAAAGGACCCACAGAGTTCTGCAGAGCAGGGCTGCTCAGGCCACTTCTCTCATGGTTTCAAAAGCAGCGATGCAGAAACATACCAGCCAGAGGAAACAGTCTGCTCCGCAAGGATCTGGCTCGATCTTGGTCTCTCTATTCTTTCGTTTGTACACATTAGGAGTAGCATGAAAAGCTGAAAAAATAATAGTTATCTTTACTATTAGCATCCTCCAAGAGTCTCCCCCAACACTGCACGGGACAGGGGCAGCACGAGCTCAATGAAGGCAAGTGGGAGCCCGACGTGGTCGGCAAGAGTCCCCGAGCAGCTCTCCCAGCAGCGGGGAACGAGGCGGCCGGACCTCCTAGCCAGCCCTGCTCCAACCCGTGACAGGGACGCGGCAGCAGTGGGGGAACACTGGGGAAGGAGAGGCCACAGGAAGATCTGCTTTCAGACTGAAACAAAAAGACCACATGATCTTAATATTATATCTTTTAATAAATAATTCACTGGGAAGAGTCCTCTGACTTTCCAAAGAAGCCCTTAGACCTGGGAAACAGCAGGTCCAACAGCTAATCAGTATCCAAAAGGCTTCGGCAGGACAAAGCGCAGGAACATGACTAAGATGAAGCTGCAAGTTCCAGTGAGGCAACAAAACACAGAGGCATGTCCAGACTTTGGAAGCGAAACATTCATGCCTTTCCCTGATGAGCTTCTGCAAAGCAAGAGTAAAGTCTAGTCGCGGCAGTATTTCTGGCACAAACTGCCAGGAGGCTCGAGCGCGGCGTGCTGAACAGTGGTGAGAGAGAGGGGACGGCCACGCAGGTCGGTTTACCGTCCGTTTGAGGAAACGAGTGGAGCCGTCTTTATAAAAGGCTTCTGGGCACCTGTCAGCTCCTAAGGCTCCACGGCAAACTCCGGGGAGGCACCACCCTCTAAAGACTGCGGCACAGACACTAAGCAAAGGCGTACAGAGGTACGAAGCACTGAGGAAAAATGAGGAGAAAAGGGCTCTAGGGAAGCGTCCGGCCGAGACTGCACTTACGATGCAGAAAACAGTCGTATTTGAAGCAGCGGCGGCAGAAGAGGGTGTGGAAGGAGTGCAGGGACTGCTCCCGCTGGACCGACTTCGCGCACGGCCCGTCTATGTTGGGAGTGCACTGCGGCGGCAGCACGTTCGGGTCCGACACTTCCGTCAGCTCCCGGTACCTGTCGGACAAACAGAAACACCCACAGCTGGGCACGCTTTCCTCCCGGGGACCTTTCACACGACTGCGTCGCTACCTGGGACAGAATCCCCGAGGCTAAACTAACGATTCTAACGCTCAGCCCGCTCAGCCCGCCCTGCTCACGGCGCCTCCAGCCAGGTTCACTCTGCTGTCTGGTCAGGGCACAGCGCCGGTGTCCGAGCTGCAGATTTCACCTGTTGCTAGGAAAGGTAACAGGCTGCGTAAGCAGAGATCTTCTACCTCTCTTTCATGTCATCCGGGAAGCCGTATTCAGGAAACATAGACGAAATGGCAGTGAAAATCATGTCGTTTGGAAACCGCTTCTTTGAACACTTCTTGCTACCTGAGAAAGAGAGAGAACTCCTCAGTTAAGCTGGATGTGAACGTGTTTTTCCTTCTCGCACTGACAGCGATTCCAGTGGCTGTCCAGGATCACATTTTAACAGACAGAACTGTAATCCCACGTACGAGGGATAAACGTTTTGTCCTGCAGCCAGGCTAAGGCACTTCCAGGCACAGTACACTGCCACTTTCAGAGCAGCAGAACGTATTGGTGGAAGTACTAACGATTTCTTAAGGACTACTTATTTTCACAAGAGTGGATTTGCAGACAGTGCTTTTCTACACCTACGGAAGGTCCTGGTGTTTGTGCTACCCGTATCGCTACAAACCAAAGACAAAGACGAAACCACCAGTCAGCATTCCCAAGGTCACGCAGGACATGACAACCCCACAAACCAGAGCTTCCCCTATGCAACGAGAACTCCAGGTGGCACAGGAGGGGGAAGAGGAGCACTAATACACGGAAAACGGCTCTGGAAGGGATCTGAAAAGGCCCACCTCGCTGGCCCACAGCAGACTCGGACCCACCTACAACCTCACTGACGGGTGCTGGCCGGACCAACACTTTAAAACCTCCAAGGGCAGAGATCCCACAGCCTCCTCAGGCACTACCCCACTGCTCTGCTAATCCACCATGCAATGGTTTTCCCGATGACTCATCTAAATTCTCCTCACCACACTCTAAGCTGGTGACCTCTTGTCCTGTCCACAGAGGACAGTGAGAACAACCAACCTCCCTTCTGCATTCGACTACCGCACCAGAACTGCCAAGCTGGTCACCACCCTTGGCGACACGACGAGTGAAGGCAGGAGAGCAGTGACCTACACAGGCAGGGCAGGATGGGAACGTGACCAACATACCCCAGTTTCTGTGGCCAAACCCACCTTCCACTGCAATTCGCTTTCTCTTCCTTGTGACCGGCAGCTCCTCTTTCCCATCCTCCTGTTTAACCTCAGAGTCGTTGTGTCCTTCCTCTTCCTCGTCCGAGTACTGATTCAGGGCGTTCACGAGCTCCAAGAACACGGCATCGCTGATAAGAACTGACCCCGAAATCATTTCTGAAACACAGAGACGTCAGCCAGTGGGTGGGAGTGCCACCATCTGTCACGCTCCTCGCGGTGGTAAATCACAACCAGCCACACGACATCGTTAGCAACCAGAACCCTTCTCTTGACTTGGTAGGGATCGGTGGGATTTTAATGCTGGAGTCATAACAGCGGGGCATCATTTTTAGCAATCTGAGGACAGGCCACACCAGAGCTTTCCACTGCCTTCCTCCCTCCAGGCAGAGTGTTAAGATGGGGTAGGCAGCACTGTAGGGACACACTCTGCCTTCT